CGGTAATGCGCTTCGCATGCTGCCCCACTACGGCAGGAGCCGTAATGGCGGCCGTCGTAGCAGACGACGCGGCTGTCCTCACCCTCAGCGGAGCGCGCGGGCATCAAGGCACCCTATCCAAGACCCGCCCAGGCCGACACCTACTCGAAAAAGTTGGCATCACGCACCATACGCAGCACGGCATCAAAGTTGATTGATTGATTGATTGATTTGTGGGGTTTAACGTCCCAAAACCACCATATGATTATGAGAGACGCCGTAGTGGAGGACTCCGGAAATTTTGACCACCTGGGGTTCTTTAACGTGCACCCAAATCTGAGCACACGGGCCTACGACATTTCCGCCTCCATCGGAAATGCAGCCGCCGCAGCCGGGATTTGAACCCGCGACCTGCGGGTCAGCAGCCGAGTACCTTAGCCACTAGACCACCGCGGCGGGGCAAAGTCGAAATTCCAAGATCGGTACGCGAGCAAGTATACGTACCCCCATTGCCTCGCAACATGCACCCCCAACACCATACAGGACGGCGTAAAGACAGGGCACAACGCATTACTCAAAGCTACTCCAACGACCCTGAAGCGGTTTTCACTGATGCTGCGCGTTATACCAATAAAAAGAGTTTCGTGGCGGTAGTTACCGGCCATCGTGGCAAGTACTTCACAAGCCTCACTGTGAACACGGCACACGCTGAAGCGGCAGAGGAAGTGGCTATAGCACTGGCCCTCACACAGACCAATGCCACATACGTGATTAGTGATTCGCAAACAGCAATTCGCAATTTTGCCAACGGACGCATCTCGCAAGAGGCGTTTCACATACTCCAACGACATCCCATACATCCAGGAGAGGTCGACTTCGATAACCGAAGGCACCTGTTATGGATCCCGGCACATACCGGACTGAGCACCCCCAACGAAGCGGCTCACCGTGTTGCTCGAGGCCTCACTCACCGGGCATCGCCGGAGGACGACGAGCCCCCGCGGGGAACTGCAGACATCTGGGCATGGGAGGATCGTATGACCAGGTTTCACGACATCACCACACATTACCAGTTACAAAGACGCATATACCCATCTCCTCACGAAAGGCTAAACAGAACGCAAGCGGTACACTTCAGACAATTACAAACAGATTCATACAGAAACCCTAGACTCATGCACGCCATGTATCCAGACATATACACTACAAACAGATGCACGTCATGTGGCGCGGTTGCCACCCTTAGTCACATGCTGTAGGAATGTCAGGGCCTAATAAACAATTCGAACAGTGCCCATTCATCTCACTCTTCCACCGCCAGCTTCCGCTCGCGTTGGAAGGCCGCACTGCTATGCTCGAACCTGACAGCACAACTCTGGGCCGTCCAGCGTGCCGAGGAAGCCGGTTCGAGACAAGGTCTCGGAACCGCATTCGCGGTGGGTGCCCAGGCCCACTAAAAACGCCGGACTCGAATCGTCTGGATTCGACAAATAAAGTTTATGTTCTTCTTCTTCTTGCAGAGACTTCGTGTTCTTTGGATGTGTGTCTTGTTCAGTGAAGTGTGAGGTCCTGAACGTGGGGTAGGAATTTTTACCACATTGCAAAAAATTATACGTTCAAAGCCTCTAGAGCACAAAATATAAGCTTGTGCAAAAGTGAACACTGTGACCACATAGAACTGTAGTAGCGAGAGGTAAAAGGTTAGATATCACATAGCCGTATAGAAAAACTATTGAAATAAATAACATACAAAAGATATGAAATGAAAGTAGACAAGAGCGAGCATTTGGTCAGAATCGGCTGATTTGGAAGACGATTTCCTTCCGTATCGCTGAATCCAGGCGCAGCAGTCATAAGCTCCCGTGGACTGACACATGAGCATCCAACTGGAAGTCATCAGCGGACCGAGAGCGTGGCTTCCTCGGAAAAAATGATGCCTTGAGTAGGATGTATTAAAGTGCTTCTGGTACAGCTCTACCACAATTAAGCCGCACGCTGCGGGGCTATAGGAGAACGTTTTGAGTTATTTCGGTGTGTTTCTTGTTCAGTGAAGGTTCAGGCCCTGAACGTGGGGTGGCAATTTCACTTAGCCAGCTAGGCATTACGTCATACTGTCTAAAAGGGATGGGGGAAGGCAGTCTAGCCACGCATGTGTACAATATAACGGTTGAGCTGTTCATCCGGTACACTTATTTAATGTGCATATATGCAACCTTACATTACAATTTTACACATGAATGGGCAGTTTTCCAAAGAAGCATCTAGTGCGGGGCAACTATGTCGAAACAGCAAACTATACAAAGTTCTGGGGCATAGTGAAAAAATCGGTTCCCGAGATATAGAAAACAGCTCTTTTAAATCTGGCTTCCTTTTCTAGCAGAGCATTTATGAATTAGATTCGGGTAAAATTCAAAATCAACCGCAAACGAAGGTTCCTACAAGCTACTCCAGCACCTCTGTTGAGCGACAAATGTACATGCTTAATCACCAGCAAGATATATTTCTGAACAAAATGTACTTGACAAATGGTTTGGAACCAGACAAGAATTTGGAAACACTTATACCTTAGTTCGATGTCTACATTTTCAAGAATTATGCGAAGCAGATTTACACTGCGCACCTCATTTATTTCGAAGGAGGCGAAAATGCCGTAGGCTCGTGTGCTCAGATTTGGGTGCACGTGAAGGAACCCCCGGCGGCCAAATTTCCGAAGCCCTTTATACGGCGTTTCTTATGATCATATGGTGGTTTCCGTATCACTAAAGCACCCAACGACCACATGCGCAGCCCTGCAGTTTTTAGATTGAAAAGAGCCTTTATGACAACCATGTTTGCTCGTGTTTTTGCGGCGCAGTATGGCCGCTCCGACTGTTTTGCAGCTGTTCTCGTTGGTCATCGCGGTCGCGTACTCAACTCAGCTTCCGTGAGAAAAGCGTCTGCCTCCGTAACAGAGCACGTAGCGATAGCCTTGGCGATGGCGGACCCTTCGCGGCCAGAGATATTCGCGTCCAGAGAAGAGAAGAAGTGGGGGGGTGGGGGCCGCGGTGGCATAACCCGCAACTAGGCCCTTGCCCCCCTCCCCCCCTCGCTCTGTTTTTTCGCCATAGCATACAGAGCGCAAAATGGCACTCGACCACGTCTTCCATTCCAGCCCGGCTTCCTCTTAAAATCAAAGAGGTGCTTTCGCTGAATAAAATATCTGCCTACGCCCCTGTGTGTGTGTGGGGGGGGGGGGGGAGGCAATGCGCGAAAATTTTAAGGAAGATTCAACTCCCCTTCACCCAGCTGCTGCCACTTCTGCAAAATAGAGGTCCGAAAAAACATTAATTGCATGCATTTAAGGTAGAGAGCAAATATCTATTAGTTTGTAAGCCTTAGTTGGTAAGCTTTGATTGCTTAATATGAAGTTCGTGTACATTTGTTAGGTCCTTTGCGAAAACAAGTTCTCGGAGATACTATATAATATCCGTTGGACTTACAGCAATGAGAGTAGCTGATTAGGCTGCTCAACCATGCATGTAGTTACCGCTGTCCGTAAACCGTATAGGTACAATTGCGTCATCACTGAGGGACCAACACAGTTCTACAACATCTTTAGCACGAAGCAAGCGCTCTAGACGCGACACCTCTTCCATAAATCACAACTCGTTCTGGCAGCTCTTCATCGACTGGCACTTTACACACCTCTCTCGACTTCGCTTCGGAAATTTGGACGGAGAGCTAGACCTTGTCCCTTCCTTAAAAGTGGCAGAGTCGACTAATTTTCGAGGGTGTGCGGGGGTGCAGGGCCACTAGCAGCACATGCTGTCAGCATGAACAGCCATTTTCGGCGTGTGCTGTAGCCGAATTCAATCACTATATCCGACATTCTGGTACTCCATAGAGAATCATGATACGCAGTTCAAGTTACTATAGAAGGCATTTGGTAAATTGATTGATTTGTGGGGTTTAACGTCCCAAAACCACCATATGATTATGAGAGACGCGGCATTTGGTAAATTGTTTTAAATAGTATCGTTATAAATATATCCACTGTATATCAAAAATGGCATGGAAGAGCACCAATGAATAAATAACTTTAATAACAGATCAAGAAATAATTACGCATGGCTTTAAAGGGCCCCTAAACCACTACCAGACGATGCGTGATGCTTTTCGTGCCTTTCCTTTATTGACGACAGCCGTCATGACGTAACCTGTAAGATTATGTGATGTCGCAAGCAACAGAAGGGTTCAATGGGCGAATGAGAGCTTGTTTTTGGCTAGCAGATGCGCGCACTTTTTGCATCTCCCTCGAACAAAGAGGAAGGCCACTCGGAGAGGTGAACAACCGAGCGGACGAACGAAGCCTAGTGTAGGAAAGAGCGAAACGAGCAAACGCGTGCAATCCTGCCAGCGTTCCTCGTAGACTCTTGTACAACTAGATCGTCACAACAAAATTTCGACCTCTGGGCGGTTTAGGGGCCCTTTAAGTGACTTATCATAAACACCAGTGAGGGTCACCGATTAAAGCGCGAAGGTTAATGATGCCATCATTAACGCCCTGCACTAAAAACCTGCACTAGGCATTGACTTGGCGCGGCTGCACAGAGCCTTGTCCAAGGCCAGAGTTCTCGTCTAAGTAGACGGCTGAAACCCGAGGAGCGTTCCAAACGTCTACTGGTCAAGGAAAGAAAGACAGATGACACACTGCTGGATGCAGTATTGTGTCGACAAGGTTGGGTTTCCACTTACATAACAATGAATGAAATTATCTTGCTGTGAGGCACCAGAGATGGACACAGTAGGAATGAAGACTATGTTTATTGATATCCCACGTAGACCAGGCTCCATCTTGTATGCCTGCCTTTCAATTCAAAATGTAAAATGCCTTCTTCCCCGTAACAATATGTAACAATGAACTGAACTTTGTGACATCACACAAATCCGAATTTGCGGCCAGAAAGAACACATGTAAAAGTCGTGCGAGCGTCAAACTGCTAAGACTCATCTCATAACTGAACGATAGAGTGACGATGTAATAGACATGAGAAAAAATGATGCCATTTATTCACAATCAGAACAAACATATTATATTTACAAAGCACAAAAAATGGCACAGGGAATCAGCACACTGCTAGGCACGCATTTAGATTCGTGAGTGTTTGCAATGTTGCAAGCGATTTAAGGTAACACTGACTTATTGCACAGCTTCGCCCACTCATAATCATTCTTTTCATGAATATGTGGCCTTGCTTCTTTTAAGGAGAAATAAAAAACTGCGCAACTATCATTAATAATATGTTCACGTGAAATAGACATACAAAGTTCACATGAAGCAGCAGATGAAATTTCTTTCACTACTGGTCAATGCACTGAGGTAAGCTACCAGGTTAACGAGTGACATTGTCATTGTATTCCAAAATAGCCTTATAATCGTAATACATTGCCTACAGCCAGCAAGTTGAGGTTCTCGCTGTGTATAATCTCAAACAGACATACCCAATTTTTCTAGAAAGAGATGCTGTGTCACCATACTAGACAGGTGAGAGGCAAATGAAAGGTTTTGTTCCTAAGCAGTGCATTTTACAACAGCATGGGATGGTACAGAATGAAAGATCTTTTTGGGAAAATTCTTTTGATTGATTAGACGTCAGTTACATGCCTCTTTCATTGCATTTATTTATTAAGTACCTGCTTCACCATATGGCAGAGAGGCTACAGTATACATAATAAAGAACATAATTAGTACCGTAAAACATGGAAAAAATGTCATTTCAACAAACACAGCCATTTTTCGGTGTCAGAATGTTCTAATGTCTTATTGTGCGCACAAAGAAAGAGTAGTGTAAAGTGTCACCCTTAAAGCGAATCTCGTGCATTTTTTAGAGGTGATCACATTTTTGATTAACATAGTTGGGTGGCTGAAAACACAATTGCCTAATAATCCCCGTCTTGGAATAAATGCAAGGAAGAAATTTTAATCTGAGACTTGGATGACGGTGTTTAAAAAGACGTCTATTTAATGTTTCTTTTTTGCTCTCTGTCATACTAAGCATCTTGTCATAATTGCCAAAAACAAATCGAACTCCAGGAAGCACCACGTAGGGCCGCTATTGGTTTTACGGCGATTATACGAGGCCCAATCTTGGCCTAATGTTGCCGGCTGTAAGCCATTATTCGCTGAGCCGTTAGCTGATAATACTGGACTGGTTTTTCCAATCTTTATCCAATAGAGAACTTTCACCGGCAAATAATGAGCCGATATTGCCATCCTTCAGCCTAAGTTGGCCTTGACCGGGTATTGTTGGGCTACTTTTGCCGCTCTTCAGCCGATGTTCACTTAGCCATTGGCTGCAAGTGGCTTATGTTGGGCCCTTTTGCCGTGCTTGATACATTGTAGAGCATAGTTATTGTTATTTGCCATCAATATTTGGCATTTTTGAACCTGTCTGTGCTTGGCCTGATGATTAAGATTTGACCGTGAAGAGAATTACCGAAATTCCATTCATTTCTCTACGTATCAGTCAGACATCGAGAGTCAATGAACACGTTTTATTGCCTGAACATCATGCGTGTGCGGTAAAGTTCTGCTGCCCATCATGATGGTAAATTGATTACTGTGCTTGAATGCCGATTCGCAGGTCGCCGGATTTTATCTCAGCAGCGGCGACCACAGTTTTAATGGAGCAGAGCGTCTGAGGCCTGTGTACTAAGAGATCAAGGTGCACGCTTAAGAGCCCCACGAGGTCGAAATTTCTGACACCCTCCACTACGCTTCATATGATGGTTTTTGGGGTGTTAAATCTTTATAACTACTATGAGCATTTTGTTCATGAACTTTTTATTACACAATAGCAATGACATACATTGGTATATTGCACTATTGCTATGACACATGGCATTAAACACTTGAATGGTTGCAGAAGAGTTGATAGGCGGGCCTGTTGATAGAAATTCATTAGAGCAACTTGGTAGTGCAAACAAACAGGAACTTTCCAGCTACCTTTAGTCTATAGTTTTTAATGTTAAAATTAAAAACTAATAAACTGGCTCGACGTTTTGGGAACCACACAGTTTCTTACAGTCACTGCTGAGATCAGAACCGAATCGGTCCTGAAACGTCGGGTCAGTCTTTAGTTTTAATTTTAACATTAAAAACTAGTAGTACTAAAAGTGGCCAGAGAATTCATTTCCCATAATTTTCACCTAGCCAACCACCCAGACAGCTCTCTGCCAAATATCTTTACTTTTAAAGCATACATTTACTACTCTGAGCATGTTCGTATGCGGTGAATTCACTTGCGCAGATGTCAGAGCCACAGCGTGTTCATGGCATAGTAAATGCCCAATAAAATATCTCTGTAGAAAAAAAATAGAGACAAGCATACAGTCTCTATCCAAGTGTTGTCGCTAGCATGATGCATAACTTTCCAGAGCACTGGCTCCTTGCAGCACGCAACACGATTGTAAAATACGAAGAGCAAATAGCGCGGGAACATGATGCACCATCTTTATACTTCGTTTTTTTGTCAAGGAGAGGAAAAAAAAGAGAGGTGAGATTACAATGGCATAGCCATGATACAAGTGGATTGCCGCTCCTTGGCCAAGCGCTGTGGGAGCTTTGGCTAGCACTGTATGCTTCCTTTTCGAGTTGAACTCCCTCTCAGTGTGAAATTACTCTGCCAGGCATGATAGTTCTATTCACATTCCAGCAGCACGTCTTGCCTGCTGCCCACCTATCTGCTACTTTATTCAAGCTCTAAGCTTTCCTTATGCTGTCATTTCATTACATTATTGCCTTTCTCAATGGGTGTCATACTTGTTGGATGTATGCTCCAAGAAGTGAAAAGCCTTTTCTTGATTTTCGTTCCGGGCACTCTAATGTGAAAAATGATGTCACGACAACATGTATGAGGACTGCGCTTAAGAAGTCTTGCATGCACAGGATGAAGGAAAGCATCGAGATGCCATTAGACTGGCTCAAACTGTCTTGGTTTCCTGGGGTCTATTTGGCTAGGCTGGCTAAAAGGGTTCTACAGGATGTCAAGGTGCAGGCAAGAGGTTCTGAGCATGGGGCTTGAAGGAACTGCCTGCTTTCTTGTTTGTTTTTTATTTACAAAATACAAGAAAGTATTTCAATCCTACATTGTGTCTCACACCGTTTAAAGGGGCGGTGCAATCAAATTTCAAGGCTAATACAAGCCTCTAGTGGGTTTCCTCTCTATGCTAAGACACTCCACATGAACCTTCAGACACAACAGACGACACTTCTCCCAACCGAAGCCCACTGCAAGCGCGTCGAGAACTGTCATAGCTTTGCAGGAAGGGTGACGAAAGTTGCAGTGACATCACACCAGATCTGTAGTGAGTGTAGGCGTGCGTAGGTTTTCTCTTTGAGGGGACGAAGATTCATCGCAGCGCACCCCCTCTATGCGACGGCATGGGTGTGACTTCGCGCTCCCTCCCTATTATGTCAATGTGTGGGACTGTGTTTGCACCTTTCCCCTTGTAGGTGACTATTGGAGTGGTCATCCCTTACCCCCCTCCGGTGCGCATGCCTATTGTAGTGAGGCGAGTTGCCTTCGGAGACCTCCGCCACATACGTACCAGGCCCGGCGAAGCATTGCGACTGCTACACGTTTGTTTTACAGGTGCTTGTGCAGAGTGTGCTTGTGGGAGAGCCAGCGAGAGCAGACGATCAGTAGGACGTGCATCACAGCCTTGTGTGACCATGTGATTAAGCTACAGTGGCATGTCACAGGCCCATTCGGCGCCCAGAAACTGAAACTGAAGACCAAAAAAAGGCGGTATCAATTTATTAAGTGAAATTAAATTAATCTTGGTGCGGCAAGGGTTTTTGCCAGGTTAAGCACAGGGCCGAAGAGGTTGACTGCGCCATTGCTGCGGTGTATGACATTCCGCATTCGTGTGGAAAGCGTTATGTTAGAAAGACGGGGTGTTATACAAAAGTCCTATGGATAACGAAGCTTCTTTAAATGAACAAACGCTCCCTAATCTTTGTTTGCATTGTAGTGAACGTGGCTACCCACACTCGTTCGGTGATACAACAGTGAAATCTATATTGAAGAATTCTTGTTGGCCAGTCAGATTTGTGGCATCGTGTTTGCATGACGTCGAGACACGTGCTTTGTGAGGTGGTGTTTCAGTAAAAAAGATGCACTGCAGTGAAAACAGGAGAAGGGTCATTCTCCAGTGTGCATGCGCAAGTGACTTACGAGGTAGTGTTTCTGAGAAAAGGATGCATTGCAGTGAATACAGATGAAAGGACACACTCCTGGATGAATGGCCATGTGCCTAACGAGCTGGCATTTCATTATATACGACGCATTGCAGTGTACACAGGAAAAGGGACGCTCACCTGTGTGAGTGCGCATGTGTATCACAAGGTTGCCCTTCATTGAAAAGGACGCATTGCAATGAACACAGGAAAAGGGACGCTCTCCGGTGTGCACGCACATGTGACTTACAAGGTGGTCTTTCTGAGAAAAGGATGCATTGCAGTGAGCACAGGGGAAGGGAGCCTGTCCTGTGTGAATGAGCATGTGCTTCACGAGCCGTCCTTTCATCACAAACGATGCATTGCAGTGGACACAGGAAAAGGGACCCTCCTTTTTGCGGCAGGAATGCAGTCGATCTTGCACGGATGTCAATGCAGAAGACTGCTCCAGAGACACAAAATCCAAGGAACCTGCAATGCCATTGAGAGCACACAAAAGCAACGTTAATTATGATACTTATATAGCAGGGAACCGACTACAGAGCAGCCGAGTGAAGTAGATGATAAGCTTGTCTCACCCAGACTAAGGATACATTTATGGTGAAGGTGCACCATCCCAGCATTTCCAACAATTCCAATGCTTTACAATAATTTCGATCATGCTGCATAAGAGCTGCAACAGCATATGAGCTGCATTGCCTCTTTGACACACTGCAACAATTCAAAATAGTTAGAAGATGATACAGATTGGTAGTCAAGGCTCTCAAAAATATGTGAGCCAAACATAGTGCAGCACCATGGCCTCGCATTATTTTGAATTATTGAACTCAGACAAAAATCACTCGTTCTTTTCTTGACTAATGATGTACAAATTCAAAATGGCAGCACAATAAATACAATGTACACGACTTTACAGCTGATTTGAGTATCATGAGCTGTATAGATTCCGCTTCGAGATGCAACAACATGGCTGCATTGCATGCTCTAAGTACGGACAGTGTTCGAAGAAAATGAAAAAGGTGTGCAAGGTTATGACATGCACTCGCTGATACAAAAGGAGACGGAAAGCCCATGAAGCATGCGAAAAATCCCTGCAACTCTGCTCATACATAATTGATTCTAAAACACTCGCCACAGGTGATTTGGGAGCCAATATACTTCTTTATTGAATGTAGTTTTACATGCCAAAACCATGCTACGATTCTGAGGCACATCTTACTGAAAGGCTCCGGGGATTTAAATATCTGGTGTTGTTTAACATGCACGGACATCACACAGTCGACGAGCTCTTGAATTCCGCAAGTTCGTTGTAGCTTTGATCTCAGCTATAGCTGAGATCAAACCCACGACCCTTGTGTCAGCAATTGGGCACTGCAGCCATTATACCGCCATGAAGGATGGCTGATGATAAACTCTTTTAATGAAGTCATGATTACATAGGAAGGTGTTGCAGGGCTTTAATAAAATGAGAAAACACCAGATGCCAAAAAAAAAAAAATCTGATTTAAATGTCACACCAATGCTACATCTAAAGAGCCAAATTTCTATGAATATGAGACAATAAGCACTAACCCAATAAACTGAAGCAGGGCATACGAATGTGCAGTAGCGCATCGTATTCCATATTAGCCTTGCATAAAGCTCAAGAATAAACCAAGGGGCTAAGAAACGACAAAGGTGAGTGCTGATTTTCAAATAGTTCATTTTGAAAAACCATGCATATGTTATTGTTGCAACACTATGTACACGAGATAGAATATGCCCTGAACCACAACGTGATAGCAAACTTCCCAGGTCAAGACAGAACACAAAAAGAGCTGGCATTTCTAAAATCACATATGCACAAAACTTCAAATTAGAAAGCTTTTTGTTTCGTTTTGTTTGGGGAGTGCCCTGCACTGCATCGCTCGCTATTGTGTTGGGGTTCCGACTATGCAGCACTTTGTCATCTGCTATCGTGTTATAATTTATAATATTATTGTACTATTTATATCTTTACATGATATAGACTAGCCATACTCAAATCTTAGGAGCAAAGTTCCTTAAGCCTCGGGTTTGTCCCACTTAGATCGTCGTGGTTCGTGACCATCTAGTTTGATGACTCAGTCAGCAGGTGCAGATGGGTGGACAGACAGACAGACAGATGCACAGACGGATGGATGCTTTGCCCCATTCATCATCGTTCACTCCGTGGATATGCTGATATTTTTTAAATGTGAAGCATTTATTAGCGAACTTCGGCGACTATAAGCTAGACCTGTGTGCCGGTACGAAAATTGTTGTCGGTGGCGCGCCAGTGTTTCCAGCTTCGGCGGCGGCGTGTGAACGGCCTAGGGTCCATCGGATCGGCAGCCCGGCGCGGGTAGAGGGGGAGGTCGGTAGGATTACGATTCAAGAGCTGGTGGGGATAGCGACTTGTTCTCTGGGTTTTGAAGAAAAAAAAAATCTGTTTCCACAAAAGGGCCAAGAAGTTGAGGTGACAGTAAACTTGTCTCAAATGGCCACTCAATAGTCCCTCTACCAAATTTTAGTTAGACCGTGGAAGTTGTTGGGTGTCCGATGAAGAAAATTTAACCACGAATATGTTTTGAATCTGTTCATTACGAGCTAAAAAAATGTGTTTTTGAAGCTGCGCAAAATGAGGATGAGATGAGGCGAGCTCGAAACCCTTGCCGCTTCTGCGCGTAGCCTTCGCAAGCCAAATCCTACCCTCTCCGGCATCCAGCCAAGAGGTCACGTGTGCCCGAACAAGCCTAACCTCCGTGCACGCAAGCGGCATTTTTTTTTTGTTGTTGTTATTGACCACCGTTGTTTTGAGGTCTACTGCCTGTTTCTAAGGGACGGTTTGGAAACGATGGGTTAGACGTGGTAGAATATATGAGCGCAATGAGTGCGCAAACGCATAGGAGCGTTACACGGCTGTCATCTGCTCAATGCGCTGACTGCAGGCACAGGAACGCATGCGAAACGCTGGCACATTAGCCCCGCATCTTGTTGCAACTCACGTGAAAAAAAAAAAGAAAAAAAAGAACACTCACATTTCCTTATTGCATCTCATTATTTATCAAGAGATTTGATATTCTCTTAAACAAAAAATACATAAACTACGCGTGTCGTGTTAAATAAGTTTCATCATTTAACGTGCCACTGTTTGCAAGCACAATCGTCTACCTAGACGACCAAGGTCACTGGTTTGCCATGTAGGTAGGGCCATTCATACGTACACGTCAAGCCCTCATTGTCTAGGCCCGCGCCCGCAAAAGGAAGGAGGAGCAGCGTTCATCTTGAAATATGACTGATTTCCATGGCGCATGGCGTTCTAAATTTTGGCAGAAGTGATCGTGAATGCCTAATCTACACATTGCGCTTGTCAGTTCAAAATGGTCAAACCTGGTGTTATTATTTACATTTAAATTTATATGTTATTTATTTACAAATACTGCTCTTTCAGTTTTCGAGACATAGCATGCGTAAATGGAAATGTTGAGCATTCAGAAATGCAATTTAATGAAATACATGCTCACGCAATTTTTTTTTTTTTCAATTGTTCACAACCAAGTCTGCGCAGGTACCCATCAAGGTGATTCCTAAAATGCACTTTCTGCAAAAAATCAAACAACACACAAATGCAAAAGAAAATGAAAAAATTCCTAATTGATCTAACGGGCACAATATTGATAGAATTAAATCACCAGGCACGGCGTGCAGAAGATGCAACGAAGAATATGGGCGCTAAAATACCGGATTTAGGGGAAATTATCTTATTTACACCGGAAGATGAGACGATTGCAAGTGCACCGATGTTCGAAAGGGACTGCAGCAATAAAGAATGCACATTTGAAGTGTATAAAAGAAACGCTGGTCATGGTGACAAAATTTAAACCTTATTGCTTTTTTTAACAGTCTTTCACATAGCTATATCATGCAGCAAAATTGCGAGTTAGTGTATGTTCATTGTACAACATTTTACAGCGGAACGGGTTAGCAAAGGACAGAGAAGGGACACAGCGCAGTCCGTCTCCAACCTGTTGCGCTGTAAAATATCCTACGATAGCTCTATCATGTCTGTAATCAGGTCACGAATTAACCAACACGTGTCCGTGTTTGGCCAAAATGTTATGCGCTGTCAGTCCGCATCCTTTTTGCCTAGTTGCTTACGTGTGTCGGAGATACCAATGTTTTCGAAGATGTTGTACTGTTCCGAAATACAGTGCCATTTTAGGTTGTTTGGGGAGTTACACAACAATGTATCTAAACTCTGCGGGACACACTAGATTTACACCGTCATTAGTATATGTAAAATAAAGAGGCCATTTCTTGTTTGAAAAGTTCGCGACTACAGTATTTTTGTAGTTACTAGACAATTGCCAGGTTTCACTCCTAATTTCTGCAGTTAGAGAACTGTTATATAGATTTAGTTTTTTAAATACTAAAGTAAAATATTTAGCACACCATACTGAGTACCATTTGAGAAATATCTTTGGCATACCGTCTGGCCCAGAGTGTATCGTAACTTCAAAATTACTATAAGGTTATGCACTTCAGAGGAGCTAAATTGAAGATTAGGAAGAGCAGATAGTTCGCTGCACGCGGAAAATGAAAAATGAAGGAGTGAAGCCGTTATCGGTAGAAAAAGAAACAAATTTGAAGTAATTATAAAAGGAAATTGCTATAGCTTCCGGATTTGAGGAGGATTGGTCCTCAAGCATGAACGATTAGGGCATTAGATTATGCAGTTGGACCTAGATGAATTTTTTTTCGTAAGTGTAGTGAAGACATTGCTAAAGTAATAGTTCTTAGCCTCTTTATTTTGGGTTCTATTTACCTTTCAATGCATTAACTCAAGAAGCGTTATCATTACACTTGAGATGATGATTCTTACGTAAGCGCTTTATGCGACGGCTGAGATGGACTATATCTTTCTGGTAGCATGGGTGCATTCGGTTCTATTGAAAGTATTGTGGTGGCACATACTTTGATACACATTATTCCAAAACTTAAGAAAGAGCGCATCTACATTGCAAAATTCTCTAGAACATTCAAATTCCTCAAAAGATGAGGCTATGGTGTCCAGTACAGAAGTGTCATCAACATCGGAAAAGTTCAAAACAGTTTTGATCTCAGGTCTTTGACGATAACACGCTAAGTTTTAGGTGACATGAACAGCGTTATGGCCAAACAACGCTTTAGTGATTTCACATTTCACACCATGTGATAGGAGCTCACAGTCCCGTGTGAACTTAGGTTGCAGTCAACTCTTTTTCATATGACCTGGTGAAACTGTAAAACGCTACTGTATCTCAATACGGCTACTTCAAGGAAAATAAGCCGGGGTCGTGCAGTGATATCATAGCGAGTAAAAGGGTAGACGAGCCGTTCACTGATGCCTGCTGAAATAGCAAACGCGCTAGGGTGTTATAGGACTCGCGACCACGTGCTTATATTCAAAGTTCACAGATGTAGATCGAGCC